GGAGAGTAGAATTCAAGCGATGTAGTAGACTATAACTCCGTTTCAGATGAGCTTGTTTCGTATTATGCAGACTAGATGTATTCTGGTAAGTACATCAGTCAATTACCATGTAGATGTAGTTCGAATAACCTTCATCATTACATCTACAAACAGGATAAATTCGAATAGCATTTGTATCAAATACTCAGTTTTATGAGTACTATTAAACAGCCTTGATTAACTATACAGTAATCGTGACGACTGACTATTACCTACTGATAATTTATTGGCAACATGATTAGATTAGTGGAGAATGAAATCAGAGTCACTAACTTTATCATAGTCAGTCATCTGACTGCATTTACCTGTATTAATGAAGTAAACTACTATGTCTCAGTCAAAGTTAGATGTTGACGTATCGAAAACACACAACTGGCTGGTAACTTGAAGATTTTCATCACAAACAGAGACCAGTGAATAAACAACAGCAGTACAGAAACCCCTTGTCATTTATTTTATTTTACTCGTGAAATCTGTCTCTTACGGGAATTAATGCACTTTCTCTATGAAAGCATTAGTTGTATTCAGTGAATGGATGTGAGATTAAGCTGTCAGAAAACGTGTGATGCTTCTAACTTTTAACAACTATTTAGCTGAAATACTACTCAGACTGCGTTAATTAATGTAAAACATTGATGCGAAAAACAAAAACGTACTTATTTATTTCTTCATTTAAATCCGAATGTTTTAGAATCTGATTTAATTGTTCTGTTAAACATTCAATCTCTCTTTTCATGCAGTTTTCAGCAGAATCTAGTGACGCCAGTTGTTGCTATGTCAATGTAAATGAATTAAAATGTGTGAATTTAGAAAATTATGCTTAAGTTATGAAGTGATGCAACCAGATTATGTGACATCTCTATTTCTGAGAAGTGAGTAATACACATACAGGTGCATAACTAGTCATTCGTGATTTCGATAACTTCGTTTGAATGGTATGAGTTTCACTCTGTCGGAAAATATTCGTTTTCCTTACATTTAGTATATGTGAACAACAACAAGAGCAGTTTTGAATACCTATTTAGAGTTGTGTGCATCCTACTTGATAAATCAAAGAATTGTAAAGCGTTTTATTAAGTATATAACTTGAGTACTCAACTCTTCAGCATTAATATGATTGTTTCTCATATGAATCTTATTTTTCATTCTCGGAAGTTTGATGAAGCTAAGAATATATATGTGAACATTCGTTTACACAAATATAAATGCAAAATTTTGAAAAATTATTATCTGACGTTATTATTTACTGTCACTCAGCATTATGATAATTTTATGTATAATTACGAGGAGGATTTGACTCAAGCGTGAAGGATTTGTTTTAGTTCTTATCTCTGAAAAAAATAATCAGTGCCTTTACTTCGTAACATGGAAACTTTGCAAAAGGAAAAATGTGCCCTAATGGAACTTCTGACACAATTTTTAATTATTGAAATGTCATTTTTACTGTCGCTCAAGCTTTTTAGATGAATCGATACGTAAATTCCAGTTGCGTAACATCACAATAATAATTTATTGCACAAAATATTACTTTGTACATGCAGCGAGGTTGTTATCTTCACAGCTTTCCGATAATCTCTGCCAACCGCATAAGACTAATCAGAAGTGCACGCAACCTCTTGTCTCCCCGGTCGGTTAGATACGTGATTCGTTTAGCACTTGAGACGAAATACAGAGCAGTTTACTCTTCAAGATACAGTCTTTCCATGTACCCTAATAACTTCCTAAATCACTAATGAGTACTAGTGGTGAATGGTAAAATGTAAGGACCGTATAATTTAATGTCTCTACATGAAAATGTATTCCCTTAGTTTATTTTGAATGCTTTCAGACTGAAAAATAAATCTCTGGGTACGATTAGCTATTTGACTTTCAATCTTACGTCTGGGATACTTTCAAAGCGTTCTCTATGAATGTTGGGAAAACTTTTCTGGTTTTATCTTTATGTACATTTGTTTGATTAAAACACCAAATAAGGTGGTAATTTTTCGCTGCTCAAAACTTTACCGTGGAAGATTAATCTTTTATTGAACACTTTTGATATACTGAATCTTGATAACTATAATATTTGCTTGCACCTTCATATTCTAAGGGATAATACTTTGTGAAACTCTTATGTTCTACCTATCCATTCGGTTCTGTTAACATAATGCGGAATTTGAACACTTAGTGATGATGATCCTTTATAATAAATTGAGCCCACACATAATATTATACAAGTTGCATACTTTTACTCTAAGAAGAAGTGTCACACGCCCGAATTCTCGACAGAATGAGTTATATTAAAGCTGAAAATAATTCAGTAACGACAAGTGGCACAAAATAGAAAACCTAAGTTCAAGGTTGTCTTCTTGTTCAATCCAAACGTGTACCTAATGCTAGAAAAGAATAAATTTGTAGATATTTTACTAATTCTCCGTTATTTGCTTATGTAAATTAAGATCAAGTGAAGTGAACACTAAAATAAGAAAGAAATTCTTCTAATAGTCGTCATAACACTCCATAATTAAGATTTTCATGCACATACAGCTTTTTAATTTTCTGCAACAATTTTCATTTGACTTCTTTTTCCATTCCCAAAAGAATTAGAACTGGAATTATTTGAATACACCAGATATATTTTTAATGAGTACCTTATTCTTAAAAGAATAATATTTAGTAATGGAAACCATAACTGTAAGCATTTACTCCTTGAAACTAACTGTTTATGTTGTTTGCTTACCATATGAAAGTAGCAAGCCACTGTAATCGTATACATTGAAGTATAAATAAGTTTATTATGGTTTTTATTTAATTTGATAGCACTTTATCGTATTTGTATTCTAACGGTAATTTATTACAAAGAATAATCTAATATCCTCATGAAATACAAGCGTAAAACAGCAAATTCGTATGAGAATTTTTTAAACTTTTCATCAAATGAGAAGGAGTCACTGACTTCAATGAGACATCATTCTCAGTTACAATAAATAGATAGTTTAGGTTTGGCATAGGGCTGTGATGTGAAGTGGCAGTGAATGAAATTAAAGTGTGAAGATAAATCACTTCAGATTTTGAACTAGATTTTCGTTTAATTCATTTAGAATTCCTTAAATGGGATCCGAATGTGATGAGGAGCAAAAGCTGCTCAAAGCATACCAGAAGTCATCTCAACGACTGCAAACTGTGGTGGACGACAAAAGCGAAACAGATGGAAAAGGCATTGGGGATAGGCAGCGTCAGACAGTTATTTAGGCTTGTTAGAGAAACAGGTCTCAAAGGTCAAAAGATAAGGGGAAAAATCTCCGGGATAAGGGGTGGCTTAATCAGCTGGCGAGATGGGACGTTGTAAGAAACGCCTTGAGGAGCAACTTAACTTGCCTATGAAGGCTGCATCGAATCTGAAATGAGATCAAGCAGCAGGACCTGATGGAATCACTCCAGAGAAGGACGGTACTGACGACTGTTGTCATGGTTAACTAAGATGTAAGGCAATATCTGTGAAAGAGAGGTAGTCCTGTTAGACTGGTGTAAGTCACTGGTTATCACAGTTTATATAAAGCCAAATGAGTCTTCATGTGTTAAGCTTAGGGGGATTAGCTTGACTAATATAGTATCTAATGTCCCAGGGTCAGCAATCATGCTTAAGTCAAATGATGCTCAGGAGGAACAAACTCAGGAAGACGAGGCAGCCTTTAGGCCAGGAAGAGAGTGTACTGATCATATCCATAAACGTTGACAGACTGTGGAACATAGGTATACTTACCCGCATCCATATTCCTTGGCCTGAAGGCGGAATTTGACCCTGTCAATCCAGAGAAGCTGTGGCAGTGTCTGGCAGCAAACGAGTCCCGATAATGTATACCACTTCAATGAAGGCACTTACTGTACTCAAAATCATACTGCCGATTAAAAGCTTATTGAAAGTTGTCACCTGAAGTGATAACAACCATTTGTGTTTGTTGGGGATGACCACTGTGCCCAACTTTTGTTTATTTTCGTCAGTGATGTACTAATGGATGTGACCCTAATAGACTTTAGAGTCTTATGGATTAACTTGTTGCTAAGGTACAGTTCCGTCAACTCAGTGTTTGGGGAAGGTACTGTCTGGTCAGATGAAGACCTGATAAAATGCCTAGCCTTCTGAATACCTTGAGCATGCGATTACATTTCAGGACTGGACTGACCTGACTGCCAGCTTAAAGATAGTGAGTGAGGTGGGGTGGGGTTAATATTGTTGACCACTTCTCTTATTTGGGAGGTTGTATTAGCCCTAATGGACTGAGTGCTGACGAAATCTCATTACGTATATAAAAGGCTCGTGTGGCATTTGCCAGTGTATGCCATCTACGGTGTAGACACGATATCGAGCTATCGATCATAGGAAGTGTGCAAAGCAGTAGTTCGCTCTTTCCTTCCTTATGGCTCTGACAGATGGCCGTTAAAAGTAAAATATATGGAGAGGCTAACTATTTTCAACCACAGAAGTTTATGTTATATCTCTTGTATTAAATAGCATAATCGGGTGAGTAATACTGAGATTGGTGTCTAGTTCAAGATCCTAGCTACTGCCATCTCTGTTGATTGGTATCCAGTGAGTTTAGAAAACACCTAGAGGTGGCAAAATACCCAGATTCAGTCCATGAAATCTTTGACATCCGCTTTGAGATATGTAGAGAGATGTAGCTTGCTTGGTTGGGGTCCTCAGCTTGGCTGGAGACTATTGGTGGTATGGCTTAAAATCATTTTCAGTGGTGCAATTGCATTCACTCTCTGTGACGTCCCATATCCATTAGACCCTACTGTTCTTCCATGTGACTATTCTTTCTCCCTCACATTTCTGCTTATTATACTGATTTAGAACTTCTTTTTCTCTTTTGTTAACTTTTCTGTGCTACTTGGAATGTGTTAACTTGAAATGTTGCACTTCTGTGTTATTTTCTATGTTGAAACTAAGTCAAATTCACTGTTCTAGTAGAACATACCTTCAGGTCATTACATCTTTTCTCAGCTTCAGCATAAGACGATCTTGTTCCATAATATTTTAAAATTGATTTTTGTATTTTTTGTATGTCATAGTCCATTTGAAAACAGTCAGCATGCAGTTGTTCCAGTTGGAAACATACAGAGTATTCTTTCTGTTCAACTATAATGTATTAGATAAATTAAAGAGCAATATTTATTAGCTTTAATAATTTAAAAAATAAATACAGTGCTAACAGTTAGTATTCTGTTACTTTTTTCAAGATATTGTAGAAGAACCGGGATATTGTTTATTCTATAGATTTGTCATATTAGATACTAGTTGTAACATAAAAATCAGACATCTTACCGAAGTCCAATAAACAAAAGTAGGTATGCCTAGTTCAGAAAACGTACGCATGTAGTGTAAATTTCAACTATTTCTTAACGTCATCATTTTTTTTCTTTGTCAATATGTAGTCATTATTTCCTAACCTTCTTCACTATAACTATTTTCATTTCTCAAAGTTTATGGCAGCTGTAGTTTCTATCAGTACAGTTCTGTTAAAAATATGCATTTTCAATTTATATATCAAGTTAGCGCGTGCTGAAGGGATTTACATATCCTTTTGGCAACAGGTTATAGATTCTCTGTAAACAATAGCAAACGGTTTAGTTAGGCTAAAAATAGCAACATTTTATCAAAAATATATTTTCAGTGTATGAAGCTTCATATCATTTCTTTAAAAAAGAAAATTCTAACAAGTTTACTAGTGAATGAGTGAAAATTCAAACTAACGATATGACTTAAGGATTCCAGACACAATAAACCAGGATATTTCTAATGTCTAAATATTTAATATATGTACACAACTTAGGCACTGTGATAGTATGTAATTCCATATTAGCTTGTTTACCAGATATATCACACAGTTTTTGATGTGGTTGTATTATTTACTGGATGACGTTTCGAACACAATTTATTGTTCATAATCATAATTATAATTATAATCACACGACTTCGAAACTTGAGTTTTATAGTTTTCTTTGTTCTCTCCTATTTGTCGTATGGGTAATAGAACTTTCCAGATGTCTGGGACAGGTGTTGAATCATTCCTATTACACGTGTTTGCAGTTGATTTGATAAACAAAGCTTCCGTTATCAATCTCACCCTCCACCCTGTTACATTAGATTTTAAAACTCTCATCTTATCGCATCCTATCGAAAGTTTGTGTGCAATTGCTTGTAGTGCTACAACTGAACTATTCTCCAGAATTCTTATCTTATTCAGGTCGACTTGAGCATTTTACCAATCATATTTTTAATGACATAGAATGGGATGATCGGAAATCCAAATATCGGTTTCAGTTTGTGGGTTTCTTGTGAACACTAGTGTTTTACTTTCCATCTTCTTTCCTCTTTACGCTACAATCTAACATTGGAAGCTCCGCTTCCTGACTGTCTAATTCATAAGTGAATTAAATTGCCTCCACCTTTGAGTTGATGTATTCAAAACTTCTATCTATATCTTGTGCTCTAAGTACGGTGAATGTGTAATTTACATACCTACACCATACTTTGGTATCGGGGTTGATCGTTTCAGTCGCTAAGTTTCCCCACTGATCCATGAATATATCTGCCACAAACGAGGATATCGATGACCACATGGCAATTCTCTCAATTTGTTTGTATATTTTCACTTTGGAAATTAAATTCTGTGGAAGTCAGACATAGCTGTACTCGTAGCACTGTGTCTTCTGGTGACACTTTTGCTCTAAGTTCAAGTTGTTGGTCAGAAATGAGTTCGTTTCCTACTGCCTCTATGGCTATATTTATTGGTATACGTCTATATAGATTGACAATGTCAAAACTAACCATTTTTTCTTCAATATCTATTTTTATATTACCTAATCTATGTTTAAGTTCATAAGAATTTATAAGTCTAGATTTCGAGTGGCTTTTAAGAGAGTCTAATACCGTAGCTAAATATTTAAATAATTCATAAGTAGGAGAATTTCAAAATTCAACTATAGGTCTAATAAGGTACCCTGACTTATGAATTTTAACAACATAAAACATGTAAAAGTAAAATAAATGATAATATTAGTGATAGTGATGATAGTGATATGCATGTGAAACATGCACAGGATAATGACAACGCCAACAATAGGGAATACAAATCATCAGCAGTACTTCCATAGAATGAAGGAACCTCGCAAACTTTAAGGAGAATTCTTAACAATGCAGGAATAAAAGTGGCATTCAAACCCACAAACTCAACTAGAAACAAGCTTTGTCAGTTAAAGGATCCTGTGGAGCCAATAAAACAAAAGAATCTAATACCCTGCAATGATTGTCGGGTCAAATACATAGGTCAAAGTAGTAGAAAAGGTTCAGTCAGACTAGCGGAGCATAAGAACCTAGCAAACTCTAGATTAGTCGACCTGAATAAGATAAGAATTCTGGAGAATAGTTCAGTTGTAGCACTACAAGCAATTGCACACAAACTTTCGATAGGATGCGATAAGATGAGAGTTTTAAAATCTAATGTAACAGGGTGGAGGGTGAGATTGATAACGGAAGCTTTGTTTATCAAATCAACTGCAAACACGTGTAATAGGAATGATTCAACACCTGTCCCAGACATCTGGAAAGTTCTATTACCCATACGACAAATAGGAGAGAACAAAGAAAACTATAAAACTCAAGTTTCGAAGTCGTGTGATTATAATTATAATTATGATTATGAACAATAAATTGTGTTCGAAACGTCATCCAGTAAATAATACAACCACATCAAAAACTGTGTGATATATCTGGTAAACAAGCTAATATGGAATTTTACAGAAGTGTTTTTGAAAGATGGTAATCATGGAAAGTATGAAAATTTTCAACACGATTCCAATTAACATTTTTGATTCAATTTCACATACACGAGCGTATTTCGGGGAAATATGCTTCACAAACACTGTCATCTTAGAAGGTTTTATGATGGGTGCGCATAACTCACATTCTAGAGTGCAAAAAGTTAATTTCTTTCGGAAAATGCTATTTTTGTTTGGTGAGATAATTAAAAATTTAATAATTTTTACGTACATTTTCCACATTTATTAACTGTGTTCAATTCTTGAATCTTTTTTTTCAAATATCCCTGCAGGAGAAACTCATCATGACATTTTGTTTTCAAGGAGGATAACCTTCTGGTTAGCGCTTCAAGTTCCATTAACTTTGTTGGCGAACAAATGCTTAGACCAACCGTTTTCATATTGTTTTTTGTTGTTGTCAATACAGAATATTCTTTTAAATCCTCTTCAATAATATTAAGTAATACGTTCACGGCTGATTCAATTTGTTCACAATTATTAATATAACTCTTGGATAACTCTATATTTTCTTCACTAAGCATCTGTTTCGGATGAATTCACAACTGTCAATGTTAATCATAACTTTTAAAATGTGACCTGTTTAAACTTCAAGTTAAAAGCATTTGTGTTTTTCAAACTGTCATATTGCGCTTTATGATTTCTAACTCTACACTAATACTGATAATCTACTACTTTCAAATCTACTTCGAGAATATGGAAATTAACTACAATACACTTTATAATCTACCTAACACACTATGGCATGCACATCGAACCTGCTTTTAATTTGCAAACATTTTCGTAAAGAATTTAGTCATGTCACATTAAATGACTAATGCCCTAGGCTTGGTTACTTGCTTATGTTTATATCTTGTATTAGGGTAAAACACATAAGAGACCTATCCGCCGCGACAAATATGGCATGTTTAGTAAGAGTGTAAAAACCAAGTTTAGCGAGAAACCTGAACTTTAAAATCTTCGGTATAGTGTGGTACGAAGGCATCTATATCGAGGCATCATATTGGACACTGGGACACATGTCCTTTGACAATCAGTTAGAATTACAGGTGGTATAACCACGTCAAAATATGCTTTCCGTCCTAGATTTACTTAACGAGCTCAGTCAGTTGAACCAGCTATCTAAAGATATACAGTGTTTGATTGTTATTTTAATAATAGGTTAACTGGAGTTAATTAAAGATACATATCCGGAGGGAGGAAACCTTGACAAGAAAACTGGTCTTTCACTATGACTCTCATGTTGCAGGAAGTTCAAAACGGAATCAGAAATGGGAGATCCATAGCCGTCTTTTCAAAAAACCTAGTGGCTTTTAATACTTCTCAGCCCTGCTTATTTGCTCGTAATTAGTTATAAAGTTGATTGCAGTGGCTGTTATAGTCTAACTTCAAGTCACGTCCTTCATTTGGGGGCCTAAATAGTTCACAGTATATATCCCAGCTAGCGCTGATTTTAGGAGCACTGCAGAAACTTAAGGGCAAACTGCAGTTATCGATAACTGCAATGCTCTCTAAAAAAGCTATCTAGGGTCATACCAGTTTCAATTTAATGATTGAATGGTTGGATTAATTTTTATCCACTAATCAGCTTCGACCACACGTCTATAGCAATTCGTATAATTGGGATAGACGATCAAGTGATGTTCATGATTTTGATTACAAGGTAGTCTGTAGGTCGTTAACTTGAACTGAATAATTTATATTTACGGATTATATGGTCTATATGTGCTATAAACAGCAGGGTAGAGGTCAAAGTGTACAATACATGAAAAATGCACGTAGTTTAACCTTCAAATGTCTGCTACATTAGTCTCCATACGAACAAATTTAATTAAACCTAAATGGTATAAATAAACAAAAGCACTTTTGGAACCAATATGAGATGTCTGTTGAGGTAGAGTACTTTCACAACAAAGTCCCGTCTAAAAATTGTGAAAAGAGAATTCTGTGGCAAGACTGGCAGATGGTTTTTTGATTAACAAAGTCGAGCAGCAAGTAAACCACATACTACTAGACTGGTCATAAAAGTCTTTCACTTTATCAAAGGACTGCCTCTCGAGGTCGAAAACAATGTTTAAAACCAATTATTTCGCAGGCACACGATTACCTATATGCGCCATATACCTGCAGCTTATCCCTCGTGAATTCATCTGCATAGTTTTGAAATTTTAAATCTTTGGGACATAACTGAAGACATTTGGTAAAATCATTGTCGAAGAAATCCATATAAATTTGTAAGTTCTCCATGTCGCTCTGTGAAATCTTGCTTGTTTCAAACGGTCCTCTCAGCCCTAGTTTAGTGGATCATATTGGATTTATTCTTAAAATATTTTCTGGATTTCGGATCATCAAGGTTAGTAGGTTAATAGCATTATTCTTTTCAGTGTGCTGGGAGGCAAATGTCCAATCCTGATATGAATCAATCAATGGAAGCTACTGAAATGACACGAAGAGATAGAGAATTCCAACGGTTCATAGTGGGATGAGAGTCACAAACTTCAAGAAGTAGGTGATTTAACTTCTTTCCTAACCATAAGGTGATGGACCAGTTTTAGTGAGGAGAAGCAATTAGTGTGAGTTAATGCTCGATACATCCTGTAACAAACGGACTGCTTATATAAAGCTAATATGATGGTGTTAATAAGTCTCTATTGCAGGTATCGACGTTCGCGAGTTGTACGGATTATACTAACGCAAGATCTTATACCAACAACCACTATAGTGTTCGTTCTTCGAGTACCAAATGGTAAAGCAAAAGACCAGATTTTGTCGTCCAAATACGATATATATTTTGGGACCAAATCGCGGGTAGGAATGAATGCTTAGCTAGCTAGTAATCGTGCACGCACGTGACACGACGGAGCACCAAATGGCGGGGATGCTTGACCGTAAGCCTTCAGCTGAACAAGTCGACTTAAACAGTGATGGTCAGCATCCAATGTTGAGTGATGATTGCTGTGGTTAATAATTTTGGGGAATTATTTACCGCTACAGCTCACTCCCCCCTAGTGGGTTTGTGAGGACCCTAAGACATGACCAGCCGGAAGTGAAAAAATCTCGATGGTTCCCTGATGGGTGAAAAAATCTTCCGAGCGGCTTGATCGAGAGCCTGCTGGTCTGTCTGCCTATGCTAATACGATGTCTGTACATAGCTTCCTCAATGTTGTTCGTTGGATCCCGTGCTTCGTTTGTTTCCTGTCCAGTGCCCGTTGCACCTGGAAAAGAAAACAAGAATGCTGAGAACCTTGTCAAGAAAAATGTACCAAATAAGCGTGTTTTTTTTACCAAAATATATATGACATGCATCTACTATACAGTAAAATAATGTAAAGTTCAGAATATCGGGAAAAATATATACATCTAATTTAATTTTATGTACGGTTATAGGAAAAATATCATTTACTTGTGTTAAATGACGCAACATAAAAAAAATTGATGTGTCACTCAGTTATGTGAAATAGGTGTGAAGGTATTCTGGAAATCTAACGTGACGTCCAGAACGCGTTTTCTTAGAGTGATCGACAGAAGTAGCCAGTGGGCGAATGCCCTGACAGTCAATAGTGTGACCCAGAAAATCGAGTGAGTCAACGCCTATTTGACACTTCTGTATATTGATGGTAACACCATGTTGGCGTAACCTTTCAAATGCCAAGTCCAAGTGTCTAAGGTGAGTTTCCTTATTTGGACTGGCAATGAGGCAGTCGTCTAAGTATGCGTATACAAAGTCGAGACCGCGAAATACTTCGTTGATGAAGCGTTGGAATGTTTGGGCCGCATTCCGGAGGCCGAATGGCATACGTAGAAATTCGAAGAGCCGAAAGGCGTAATGATAGCCGTTTTCGGGATATCTTCCGTTGCCATCGGGATTTGGTTATATGCTTTAACCAAGTCGATTTTGGAGAATATAGATGCTCCAGATAACGTTGCCGTCAAGTCGTGTATGTGAGGCAAAGGGTAGCAATCAGGAGTTGTTTTGGCGTTGACTCGCCGGTAATCACCAGTGGGTCGCCAATCGTTACTATCTTTTTTTGGAACCATATGCAATGGGGATGCCCATGGACTATTCGATGGTCGAATGATGCCAAGGGTGAGCATATGATCGAATTCGTTTCTGGCAATTCTCAGTTTATCAGGGGCCAATCATCGTGCTTTAGATGTCACGGGCTGTCCTGAGGTTATGATGTGGTGCATAACATTGCTGGTTATACACGGGAGATCGTTAGATGGGCAATTCAGTTCCGGATATTTATCAACAATCGGTTGAAAAGTTGGATCGAGGATTGTTTTCATCTTAACGATTGACAAGCTGGGGCCTACGTAAGTTATGCCTTTGATAGACAAACTAGTAGTGTTGTCAATTAATCGTTTACGGCGGACGTCTACGAGCAAATCATGATGATTAAGTAGGTCCATGCCAATGATGGGCATTGTGACGTCAGCGATTAGGAAAATCCACTGAATAAGTTTGCGTAAACCTACGTTCAGATAGACGTATTTCCGACCATAGGTTGCAATTGGTTTTCCATTTGCAGCCTGTAGGTTGAAGTTAGGATCCTTCTGTTGATCTGCTGCTGTAGCAGGAAGGACGCTGACTTCGGCGCCTGTGTCGACTAGATATCTAGTCTGGCTAATTACATCGTGGATGTAAAGTAAGCGGCTAGTGCCACCGGCGACGGTTGCCGCTAACGCGTGCCGGCGGGATAGTTTCCCACAGACTTGGAGGCTTTGCCGAAATCACAAGGTTTTCGACAACATTTCGCTTCCTTGCCATAGATGTTGTGATACCAACACCAGTCAGGATTTTTGACAGAACGTGTGTTGGACTTAGATCGTCCACGTGCGTTTTGCCGTTGAGGGGATCTAGAACGACGATAGGAGGAATTGCTAGGCTTGTTTGACCTAAGCATCTGCTGGACGGAGTTGATTAACTCTATCATTGCAGAATCCTTCTTCGAAGTCTGTTCGGTAACAGAGTATACTTCGGTGACTGGCCGTTTCGTTATCTCTAGAATTCTATCTGCAGAGACAGCTAAATCATCTATGAGAACACCCTGAAGTGTCACAAGTACAGTCTGAACTGACTGTGGCAGTTTGGATAAAAATAGTTCTCTAAACAGTCCTTCATCGAACTGACTCTGGCCAATGATCTCTTTCATTCTTGCCAGCATGCTCACGGCTGACTGATCTCCTAACTCGATGTTACGAAATAACTCATCCAGACGTTGCCGATCTGTGAGAACGTTTCTCTTGAGGATGGATGCTTTTAGCAACTCGTATGAGTTACTTACCGACATCTGCAGAGTTACGCACTTGCTGAATTCCCGCGGTAGGGCGTGAATAACTGCAAGGAACTGTGAACGTTGATCAGTTATGCCATGTTCACAAAAATCGGACTCAGCAATCTGAAACCACGTTTCAGCATTATCTGGCCAATATGGTACTAGCTGGATTGTTTTGGCGGTTGAGCGAATCCGAATAACCTTGGGGCTAGGATCACTCATGACGAAAAGTATGCCGATAACAA